ACTGATTCCATCCAGACATTGTTACCTTCTCCATTTTTGACCTCTATGGTCAGGAGCTTCAAACCCACACATGCATCAAGCAGTCTCTCCATCCCTTGGAGACTGGTACCCAGCTGTTCAGCAATAGCCTTTGTGGACAAGGTCTTTTCTGACTTGCTTAACAGGTCAAAAACGCCCAACTCACAGGCTGCAAACATAACCTAAGAACCAAAGAAGAGAAGGAATGAAAGGTACAATGGGGTGGATCTGGAAGCATTTAAGTTAGAAAGGGAGACATTACAAAGGTTAACTTTGTCTCACTTCAATATTCCTCTTCTGGCAATGTCTGATGGAAATTCTGAACATTTCTTTAGCCGGCTTTACAATATTCCAATCACTTTATGGGTTTACAAAATCTATTTCAATGACTGCAAAGATAAGAACTGCTGAGGGTTTTTAAAAAAATTCTTACACACCCACAGGTTCCTCCCCCCCCACTACTGAACAGTTCTTTAGAATGTAAAAATCATAACAGAATTATCTCGCCATCTACTTTCTTTCTAAACTGTGCAATGGTGTAAGGAAACATATTAACCAAGACCAGATTTCTTTCCTGGACAGCACAAGCTGGTAAATGCCAAGCAACTATATGTTCTCTGTAAAAAAAAAAAAGGAAAGCAAGCAAGAAAGAAATACAGATGGTGGGAAAGCTACATGGCTGTTTTTAAGTAATGTCTTCGGTTGTTGATGATTTTTTTTTTTAATCAGGAATTTTAAAGTGTTTTCCTTCCAATTTAAACATTAAAGGATTTCAGATAAATGTTTTCAAGAAAGAAAGTTGAACACAATTGTAAGTATGACAAATTATATAGTTTTACCAAATTGTTAATAAAAAAAATGGGATTCTCAATGTGACAGACATGTTCTAAATTCATTGCATTGAGATACATTGTTCGGATGTTGGTCAAGCTCACAAAGATAATGTCAGCTTCAGTCCTTTAAATAAACAGAGCTCCAGTGTCAAATCACAATAATGATGGTTAGGTTCAAGGGTTCACCCCCGTAAATCTTGTATGAAGTTTTACTCATTTTTGATTACACAACCACAGAGAAGTACATGTTTCTTTTTCATTTCAGTAATGTTAAGGTATTACCTGTAACCCTTACCTTTGATATTAAAAATCCATTCTGGTATTGAATTAACGTCTGAAGATATTCGAGGTCCTCTGCGGAGCCCATGTTGCTACTCTTCTCCGACAGAAATCCTCTATCCCTTTTCATAGCCTCTTCCCTTCTGGCACAGGTCATTTGGGCAGCCTAGTTAACTATATGAATGCCACTCACTTGAATGAAATGTTCCAACCACTGTGGGTTTCATTTGCTCCCGTTAACGTTGGGCCTCTTGGAATGGTTGCAGGCTACAAGTTAGAGCAGTTTTTAAATCTGACAAAGGAGACTTTGACTCTTGAAAGCTTATGCCCTTGAAACCGTGTTGGTATTTGAAGTGCTATTGGACTCGAATCTTCCTCTTCAATTGCAGACCCAAATGACTACCCACCTGAAACTAGTTTTTAAATATGTTGCTTTGGGAATTAACCTGTCACTATTATTATTATTATATTTGATTTTAGACTACCCCCCCCCCCCAGAGGGACCGGGCTCAGGGTCATGCACAACATAATAACATGTAAACATTAAATACTGTTACCAGGGCTCTTTTTGTAGAAAAAGCCCAGCAGGATCTCGTTAGCATAATAGGCCACACCCAACAGCAGAAACTCATTAGCATATTAGGCCACACCCCTGACAGCACAGCTCATTAGCACATTAGGCTGCACGCCCATGTTACTAGAAGTGTGGTCATCCAGCCACACCTACCTTTTGCTTCTTATTCTGTTTACCTTGTTTGTTGTCAAAACCCAGGGCCTTTTTTTGTAGCAGGAACTCCTTTGCATGTTAGGCCACACACCTGTAATGTAGCCAATCCTAATGAGTTTCTGCTGTTGGGTGTGGCCTATTATGCTAATGACTTCCTGCGGGGCGTGGTCAACTTGGGAGCCAGCCGGAACTCTGTTCCTGCGTGTTCCTGCCCCCAAATAGCCCTGGTTAAACCAATAAAAACATGGTAGTACCAAAAGATGGCGTTAAAATTTCCTGATGGTGTCACTGGCCTCAGGGGGAGGCAGAGGGGTGGAAGTGCCAGAAAGGATGGAACCGTCGCTGTCCCCAACCAAATGCCCGGTGGAGCATCTCTGCCTTACAGGCCCTGTGGAACTGTATCAGGCCCTGCAGGGCACAGATGTTATTCGGCAGAGAGTTCCACCAGGTTGGAGTCAGGGCAGAAAACACCCTGGCTCTGGTTGAGGACAGCCAGATAGCTCGCGGGCCCGAAACCACCAGCAGATTTTGAACTGCTGAGCGCAGTGCTCTGCTGGGAGTATACCAGGAGAGGCGGTCCCAGACCATTAAGGGCCTTAAAGGTCAATGTGATTACCAAATGAAAACTTACAAGATTAGTCAACTCTAATAGAAGCAATTCATATTCCAACACCTGTTATTTTTAACATTTTATGAAGCCCTTGGGATAGATTAGAACAAGTGTTAATCTCTTCCACACAGTTTTCTCATAGAACTGTTGCACTGGCCATTATGTCAGCATGGCTATTATTAAAATAAAAATTAAGATGTGTTGTATTAAGCTGATGGGATGAGGTGGTGGGACCACGGAGATTCATTTTACCCCTTTTCTGAAAGCCATGGTTTGGAGCCCCCCCCCCCATGTTCAACATGATCCTTAAAAATAGATTCTTCCATCATCCACATGGTAGCAGAGATATGGGAGCAAGCATTTATCTTTCAAAAGTCAGTAATCCTGACTTCTTCAATAAAAATGACACGTTTTTAAATATTAATCTGTGAGGCTATCTTGTTGATTAAAACAAAATGCAATAAATCTCTTTCTACAATGCGGCGAGCAGCTGTTCCTCTTGAGGATATCCAAGATAATCAGCTAAAAAGATTTACTAAAGCAGTGTCTTGCGTACAAAAGACTGTTGGTACCAGTAACTAAACTGATGGAATATATTGTGCACAGTTTGCAGTTTCCATAGGCAGTGATTGATGATTACTGCCTAAGCTCTTACTAAAATTTAGAGGGTAAATTAGAACTGCTTTCACTCCCTAAGAAAATCTTAAGGTACTGGAGCCTAATACCCCAAAGTGCTTGTTGTGAAAGCTGTTACGTCTCCAAGCCTCTTTGAGCATGAAAATCCTGTCATGCAAAATATCTTCAGCCATCAGTTAGCATCAGGCTCAGTAATGAGAGGGGTGAGGGTGTAAGACTGTAAATAAGATTTTAGCTGCAGTTTCTCCTAGCTTGCTTCAATTCAACCAGGTCAAATGACCCACCATTGGAAACTTTCACAGTAAAAATGCAAATTTATGGTATAGTTAAGAGCATTTAAAGTTCTCTTTAAAACCTCACACTAATTACAAAAAAGGACATTTGGAAACACAATGTAGAGATATTTCCACAGGGGTTTTTTTTGGGGGGTGGGGGACTGTCACTGGTACCAAGTACCAGCTCCATTGGAGGGGGCTGTTCTGCATGAGAACTGGTGGAAATCACCTTTTCTAACATAACCCCCCCCCCCCATGGGCATTTCTTTTTAAAAAACAAAAAACCCTTCAAGTGATGCTTGGTGCTAACATACAATGATAGGGGGCTTATCAGAAAAATGGAACAGAGAGCAGCACTAGGATTCTGGAGCAGGGAGAGAATATTGAGAGGAACATGGGTACTAGCTGTAACATCTGACAGATGCTTTTGTTTTCCCTTCCTGTTTCCAGGTATGAAGCTTGGGAACAACTGGAAGTGCAAGCCAATGAGGGTTCTTGCCTCTTAGCTGTGGCTCATGGAATTGGACAAACTGGCCCATTGGACACATAACTGGGCCAAGACGTAACTGATTTTATTTTTTTTTTCTATTGCTGTTGTAAGCCCCCTTGGATCCCTCTGGAGATGAGAAATAAATATTTAAATAAGTAATGAATAGAAGCAACAGGGAAATAGATATGGTGATGACTGTAATCTTATTTTACTAAATGATAGTTCACATGGATGGCTCTGGTCTCCAACTCTGAGAGTTTCTGATTAGAAAATATTTGTACAACAGCCTTCTGGCTTCGTTCTGCAAGTTCTCCACTTGTAACCACGTTTGCTTTAAAACAGCACACAGCGCTGCACATCACAACTGCTCCAGTAAAACATCTCAGTTCCACTGTTTTTCACAGCAAATGCAGTTAACACCTGAATGCTGAAAAACCTGAGAAACCCACCTAATTGTCTTGATGACAAGAGTTTAAATGTTTCTTAGGTTTATTTTAAAGCCATTGCAAATGGTAACAAGAGGGCCAAACTATCTTCCTGGTACATGGGATCAATGTATTACTTACTATTTGGGTCAAAACAAAGCCTTCAACATTTAGTAGCAACTGTTTTTTAAAAGAAAAAGGAGTGTTAAAATTATTTAAAAAGAACAATAACTGCAGCCTGACATTTTTACCTGTTGTACGTTCCTAGTGTGTACATGAACACGGTGCAGAATACTTGTCACTACTAGAACATTTAGTTGAAGCATTGTGAATTGAGTTGTGTCCAAGGATGTCTGATGGCCCAAGGAGTTCTGGATGAAGGGGGCAGGCAGTAAAAGCTGCTCACATGAATTTACTCCATTTGCAGAAGCCTTTAGATCCACCCATTATCTATTCCACTATCTGGTGTTTTGGAGTCTCTCCTCAAAGCACTTTGCAAACGCCATCTATAACTGAGACCAAAGAACCATGAAACATTTGTAAGCTTCCATTATCTTCTTGTGAAGAAGACTACTTTCATTTCATATTAAAAGTTATCAGGACAACCCAGTAATTATCAAATTATCAAAACACACACAAATGAGATCTGATTTAATGCAGTAAATGTACAGATCTTTAATGTACTGAAATATGAAACAGCAGTTTGGGTTCACTGGCAATGGCTTTTGTGTTTTTACCATAAGATGGTAAAAAAGCTGGTTTTTGCACGGCAATGTTAACTTTTTGCTTTTTTGGAAATTCCTGAACTTCATTTCCAGAAGCAAAGATATTATAAACATACTTAAGAGAAATAGCAACTTTGAACCTGAACATTACAAGTAAAAATAATTTCGCAGGAAGGCCCCTCTTTCAAAAGATAGATGTCTGTGCAACTGCATGAGGAGAGGTATTTCAACCAACAGTATGAACAAAATAGTTGAACATCAAATACGACAGCAGACCCATGTGTACTTTCACTGAGATGCTAAACTCTTAAGAGTGTGTGTATGTGTATTTTAAACAGAACTCCGAAACATTGAATAATAGAATCAAAGACCATGACCATCTGAGCCCTAGGTCACACTGTCAAATCTGCATTCCTCAAGAGCCATCACGGCATTTTGTAAAAACAGGTTTGCCTTTACGGATACATCTAGCACCAACTCAGGTAAGCAAAACATCCTGCACTGAATTGTTGAGTTCGTATGAGTCAAGCACATAATTACTTCTTAAGTTCATGTTTCCTTCCCAAAACATACACAGGCCAGTTTCTGAAAAAGAGGGTGCTGTGGCTGTATCTGAAAAAGGGACCCAGCAGAAGAAGTGAAGGCCATGAAAGGCAGTCAAAGTGTGAGCAAGAATGTTCAGAAGGCATGGTACTGTAGAAAGCCAGCAGAGATCTGACAGATGAGAAGTCACAAAAGAAAATTTCAAAATGCCTGGTTATATGCATTTGGGCTCCATAAAACTATATTCAAGTAAAACAACTGATCAGTTTCTTTTCCTCCGTCTTCCACAGAGGGTCCATTCCAGTCCTGCCTGAGATAGCCCTTACACAAAAAGGCCAAGTCATTTTAATTACCTACTCCAAGAGTTTCTTTGACTGCTCAAAGATCTCTTCTGGTGTTTTTGTTTCTTGCTTGTGCTCTTGTGACCATGACTGCCTCCTCTTTTATCCTGCCCCCTGTCCCTACTAAAGGATCGCCTCTCTCGTGCATGTTCTCGACTTGAGCTTCTCTGGCAAGGACTGCTACTTTTTGCAGCATATTTTTTGTGGTGGTGTCTATCTTTTCTGTGTTTTTCATCCTCACTGCTTAAGTCTCTCCTATGCCTGTTCTTTTCAGTTTTCTCTTTGCTATGATGGTTATGCACATCTTTGTACGACTGACTCTTCCCCTTACTTGGTTCTCTGTTACACTTGTCTTGTTCAGTCAATAAGTCTTTTTTGTATGTCTTCTGCTCATGTTCCAATGTACTCCTACATTGCTGATTTACAGGGATGCAAGAAAGGACACCTGAGCTACTTTCTTCAGAAACAGTCTCTCTGTCATTGATGTGAACAACCTCCTGAAAGCTTCCATTCAGGTATTTCAGCTGAGGACTCATACTTTCATTAAGTGATATGCTGCTTTGATAGCACTGAATGGGTCTGGCCAAGGTGGACTGGGCTGAGGTAGATGTGACACAGTGGGAAACACCCCCAATTGCTTTCAGAGGGTCAGAATTGAGTTCTATCCTTTTCAAATCGGTTGCCTCTTCTTTCTTGCTCATGAGGTTGCTTAACAGTTTCTCCCTCAATTCCCTCTCTTTCCTCTGCA